AGGGGGTGGAGGAGGGGGGAATCGTCTCCTTCGACGATGGTGGGCTGGGAGGAATGGAAAGAGAGTGACAAATAGGGAGAGAAAGAACAAGGAACAGAAGTAGGGGAAAGGATGGGAGAAGAGCGCGGGAGAAGACAGGAATGGCTGAAACGGAAAGGAAATCTGAAGTGACGGGGCCGGTCCGAGGCAAGGAAACCAAGGCAGGGAGGCAGAGGAATAAAAAAGAAAGAGATGCAGAAGCAGCAACAATCGCCGAGGGAGGCGATTATCTCAAAGGGCTGCTGAACAGGTAACACCTCATCGAGCTGCCATCTCGGGTGCTACCGAGCCTGGAAGGGTTTCCTGCCCACAGCCCTTCGCCCATTGTGCCATTCCAGGGGTCTCCCCCGCAGATTTTGCCTTCTGTAGGAACTCTGGTATATTCTCTCTTGCCTCCTTTCTTCACCATCTTATTTAAATTCACGTCACTTTTTTTTGCCCATCCAAGTCTCTTACTCTCTCATTTGTCTTTGTAACTGTGTTATAATTCAGTGTTGTGGCATTTTAACTGAATTATCATTTCAGTTTCTGAGACAGGAATATGTGCAGGATGAAGGACAAGATCCATTTCAGCCTAAAGACAGAAAAGCACACTGAAATGAACCTGGGAATACATACATTAAAAATGCCACTTTGCTCCCCGGGTTGGTGTGCACAAACTGAGTATATTCTATCATAAATGTATTTTCACAGTTGGGACTGTTTCCTCAGCCCAGGCACTGAAATCGGCTGCTTCAGATCTCAAAAGGAATGGAGTATTCCTGGAAGAAATAACCCAGGAAAATGTATATTTGACAAGTGCTTTACAGCCCTGTCAATCAAAATCAACTCACACTGGGGAAAATGCAGTGAGGGTGACTGCTGCTTTCCCCTGGTGCCTGCCAGAAGCAGAGGAGAAACTGAGTTGTGGTTATCAACAGGGCTGAGGAAGGGGCCAAGGGAGACAGACCTCATAAAACCTCTCCAGTCTGAAGTGGAAAGGGCAGGCACTGGGCAGATGTGAACTCATTTTGAACCACTTTGCTGTGGTATCTTACCGGAGGCAGCCAGAGCAGGGCATTAGTCATGGAACCGGGTGCCATCGCAAAGTATTCCAGACCAGGTGCTAAAGACTGGATTGATTGAGTTGGGCAGGAACAATGGAAGCCCTTTCTTAGTTTCTCAGAATTCAGCTCTTCGAGATTGGCTTTAAATAATGTAGTTATTGTTGAACTTTTTATATCACAATTATACATTTCTATAAGATATAGATAAGATACATATTTATACCTTAATATTTCATGACCGATTTTGCCAGTGGGAGCCCTTACAGATACTTACAGATATTATTCTTTTTACAAGTCTCAGCAGCTCTCCCTGTTTCAGTGAGAATTAGTTGTGGTTTTAGTAAGTGAACTCTGAAACAAACAAGAGGAAATTCCTCTGAATACCATTCTTTCACTACCTACACAAAGAGAAAAATCTACCAGCTAGTAAACTATGCATCTGAATTAATCAATCTAATAACTACTTCTTTTTTTTTTTTTTTCCAGACAGAAACAAGACCAGCGCATCTATCGCATGGCCCGGAGAGAATAATCAGAGATCTTAAAGAACATAAGGGTGAGGCATTACTAATGCTCTGAAGGGCTCAATTCATCCCTTAACACACAGTTTTTACAACCAGCAGCCATTTATATGGCCCCGTTGTCAGAGCAGTCACACTGGGCCGGGCTCTTGCTCACAATTCTGGCTCCTGCAGGGACATTGTTACTCTGAGGCTATGCCTGAACCCCAAAACCTTCCTTAGCAGGGACAGAGGGAAGTACGCCTTGTCTGCACATCTTGGGGGATACTTGATAAGATGAACTAGCATTTTTTCAAATCAAAGTTATGGATGCAGAGGAAGGAGACAAGAATAAAAAAGCTTTTGCATAGAACCGTAGAACCATAGAATGCGTTGGGTTGGAAGGGACCTGTAAAGGTCATCTAGTCCAACCCCCCCGCAGTAAGCAGGGACATCTTTAACTAGATCAGGTTGCTCAGAGCCTCATCAAGCCTGACCTTGAATGTCTGCAGGGATGTGGCCTCCACCACCTCTCTGGGTAACCTGTTCCAGTGTCTCATCACCCTCATTCTGAAGAACTTCTTCCTAATGTCTAATCTAAACCTACCCTGCTCTAGTTCAAAACCATTGCCCCTCGTCCTATTGCTAAGTAAATGTGAATTTCTTCAGAAATAAAACCTGAACAAAAAGCAGCGACCAGTAGGAAGTGCCCAAGACAGGTAGAACAAACTATGATCCTTCTCTGATAGAGTGACCTACGGACAGGAAAAGTTGCTGTATCATGAAGTGCCAAGCAGTAATGGGGAACCTTGTGTGTCCTTGGAAGCTTCTCTTTGGATGGCACCTAGAAGAGCTCTGTGGAGACAATGAGGGTCTGGTGTCACACAGAAATACGAACCTGAATGCATCAAAAGCTTCAAGGCATCCTGACACATTTTTTGTTCTGCAGCCTACATTAGTGATAAGATGAGCTAAAAGCTTCACTGTGGTATTTTAAAGTCAACTAGAGCTATGCCACTGATTACAACAGGGTCACATCTCACATCTCACTTTGCTTCTCTTTGCTTTTTGGTTTGGTTTGGTGTTTTTGTTTTTAATTCCACCATCTTCTTTTCATTCTTTAAGCCTTTTTGTGAAGACCATCAAACCATCTTTTTCAAGCGAGGTAGCCTGGAAAGCTAAAGAGAAAAAAAAAATTGTAACTAGAATTCTTCTAGACTGATCTAAGACAAATGAAGTAATTTACTTTTCAGATTTTGCGTGAAGTGGGTTGGTTTCAATATACAAATCTAATTCACTCAGAATATGGCTATGAAAAGCCATGTTCTGTATTCTCTTTTCTGATGAACGCTACCCAAGGCATACTAATTAGAGTGCTTAAGGAGTAAGGTAAGCAAGGCTGGCAGAGTCTGAGCTTTTATTTACTCCGTGTTATCTCTGTCCAAATGTTCAAAGCAATATGGGTGGTGACTGATTCACTCGTTAAATTCAAAACAGCATGTGTGTACGAAAGGCTGCCAAGTTTCTCATGTATATAGCTATTTGTGAGAAGCTATGCACAGACAAAAAACAATCAACCAGTTTCTTAATTTCATTTTATATCTTTATTCCCATTGTAAGTATTAACAATCATCCAAAAGACCATTTAAATTTGGGTTGGATACACAATAGCATTAATCACAGTCCAGTTTCTTTTTTTTCTTTTTTTTTACTGCAGTTCTAGTATTTCGGGGTCTGTTTTAGTAGTTCTGTTGTTGGTATATTTGCTTCCAGCAAAATAGATTTTTTCAGTGTCTGTAGATTATTTAAAAAGACTTGGTATATTTGCTTCCAGCAAAATAGATTTATTCAGTGTCTGTAGATTATTTTAAAAGACTGTTAAAGATAAAAAAACCATAATGCAATGATTAACAGTATATTAATAAAGCTTATTGTCTTCCATTTAAGATTAGTACTAGGTATGTCTGATGACCTGAAACTTACTTTTTTTTGTGCATTGTCTGTTCTCTTTTCAAAGTAAGTTCATAAACAACCACAATATTTTCTCATTACAGCAGCTCGTTGCAGTAACATTTTTAATTGGATTGAAATCCTTTTAAGAGAATGAGGTTAAGTCAAACAACCCTACAAAGTAAAAGGTTCTGTTTAAGTAAATGACAAGTTACACACAATCCAATGCTAAGGCAGCATCACAACGTATAAATTAGAGTGGATGGGAAACATAAAGGATTTTCTAAATTCACTTCCTTATTATTATGTAGGGAGGACACATCACGGACTGTATTTTAGTCTTCAAGAGAAGAAGAATCAAAAAATACAGTCAAAGAGACATCTTTCATCATGTCCTTTAAAAGCCTGTGAGACAAATTCCTTCATCAAATTCATTAATGTAAAAGCAAATTCAGAAAACTTATTTGTGGAAGCTGTCCTGTTAAATTATGAATACCAATAATAAATTCTTCAGTTCCTCATTTATTTGCGTACTCTGCATATGAACAGACATGAATATATATATGAATAAAATATGCCTATTGTATAGCCATCCGCAGAGCTAATATGAATGCTTCTCTTGTGCAATGTCAGAAAAGGACAAATTATTAATCAAAGCTGAGAGGAGAGAGAAGCAAAGAAGAAAGCAGATGATGCACAAGAAGTTTGCTAGTTCTCTTAGGATGACCTCTGTGTGGAAGAAAACAGTGAGCTAACAACTATTCTATCGTGTAATGAAGGAAGTTTGGGATCGACAACAGCTTCTAAAAGGGATTTAAAATGGAGATAAAGATAGTCAAGTGAAAGGTAAGAAGGGGAAGGGGACCAAACGTGGATCTTGCTATCCTGAGTTTTGTCTGAGCCCCAGAGGGAGTGGAATTTGTTGGGAATAAGGGGAGGAATTTTGGTTTCAGAGGGAAATGCTGAAGTTTGCGAGTGGTCTCGCTGAGGACAGACGGAGCAGCAGGCTCCTGGACACTTCTGGTGGGGATGTTTCCCTAAGACCCTGTTCCAATCAGGACAGGTGCATAAGAGATTAACCCAACCCCTTCACAAGTTCCAGGAAAGCTGGAATTCCTGAGTCTGAAGGGAGGGGACAGGTGTTTTTAGGGACTGTCCTCTTCTTGTATTGCTCTTAGTGGTTTTAATAGCTGGAGATACTCCACATAACCATTCACCGTTTTACCCTCCTGTCCCAACTTTCCACACGTGAGTATCAATGTAGCATCTAATTGAACCCATAACACTCAGTTCTCTTTGCTGCTGTTTAATACATACATATGTTAAGCACCAAGAGATGAAAACTGTATTCGTGTAGACAAGCTAACAGGACCTTCCTACTTCTCCGCTGCCTACAGATTGGGTTGTGAAACGTATTTTTCGGTCCTAATTCTTCTTTAAAGTCTGCATATGCACATATGTGTATATACCCACACACACAAGCGAACACAAAGAGTATATGTAACACTAATTGGAGCTACTGCGAAATGCTGGCCCAGGGGTACTGGAAGAAGCCTAGTACCAAGGAGTGCTACAGCCAGAGCACATTGCATCTGGAAAACTGGGGTTTAGCACCTCATTGCCCCCACGTGCATCTTTTCTCTGTTTCAAGGTTCCCTTCATTACGTGGAGGAGGGGGATCTGACCCTAAAGACTTCTCTCCACGTGCGTTTCTGTTGATGTCAGGAAGGCTACGCTGAATAACGAACTCTACATTCACTAATAGGTATGGCAGCAATTTTTAAATAGCTTCTTATAAAGAGCAAGAGCTGTGCTTTAGGATTATTTTATCTTAAATTAAATTTCTTATATGCAGTCCTAGAGTACAGCACACATGCATGGCTGAGAACAATTCTGCATGAAGACTGGACGCTTTGGTGTCCTCTCTGCACCCTCTTAAACAATCAGTACCTCACAAAAACCTTTCAGTATCGTTCCTCCCAGTACGTACCCAGTGCATCTCAGAATGATTTGTATTTTACACTTTATAGATAATATCAGACTTGTATTTTCAGTATCAAAAATATGTTGTTAAAAGTTCTTAATAATAAATGTCATAAATCCAGACTTTTCATCAAAGGGTAAAATGATTCAAGACCTTTGGTGAATGGATGATGAAAAAGAAACATTTCCAAAAGCTACACATGATTTATGGTCTTATGCTACCAACAGCTGCCCAGTCAGCTCCGGGTTTCTGTCCTTTATTAATGCCATGATAAGAGCAGCAGCAGAATTTACTGTCTCCTGAAGCAGCAAATGGTCCTGGGGAAAAAAAAAAAAGGAGCAGGGGAAACAGTATATTAACAAAGGTGGAAAAAGTAAATATTTAACAACAATTTTCAAGTATGCAAAATTACCATATGTTTGTTGAAAAAAATAGAAACATTTATTTGCACTTAGAAGAAGAAGAACTTCTAAAATTTAGTACTTTAAGGAAACCCAATTTCACAGTAACAACCATTTTCCAATGTCCACGATGATTTAAAAAGCAAAATTATTTTTCTTAAAAGAATATATTGAAACTGCTAGTATTTCTGCTGTCTATCCAGACACCAAAAAAACAGAAGCTTGATTTTGTCACTTGCTTCCTAACTGATTTTTAAAAATCTAAAAAGCGGTCAAAGTTTTGGGTTTGAAAACATTGGAACAAAATTGAGGATTTAATTGAGTAGTATAGTTAAAGACCTATAACTCTAAGCACCTACTGAATCCCATCTGCAGTCTACAAACTACTTAAACTCAGAAAGGCACTTAAGCACTGGGACTGCAGTGGTTTGGGATGGTCTTTGTATCAAATAACTTTACAAAGTAGTCTGGTTTTGATAGGCGAGTAGAGAGACCAACACAGGAAGAACTAATAAAATGAGACTTTGATTCTCTGCTTCTAACTGAGCGCTCCAGCTCCCATTTGAAAGAGTCCTTTGTCTAATTGCCAAGTTTTCTTAATTGTATTGACTATAAAAGGTTGGCCTCTTGCTACCAGTAACATTTTAATTTGCGCACTGGGACAATATCACTAGGTGTAGCCAAGGCATAGACACATCCCTGGGGAGAGAAATAGGAGGGGACAATTTCAGTGAAGCAACAGAGAAAAAGAAAGGTCTACAACACTCCATGGAGAATCTAGAGGAGTTTCAAGTACAGCAGGGGAGCTACAAAGAGAGAGCAGGAGCTGTGCTCCGTATCCACAACGGATAAAACTGGAAGCAACAGGCTTAAGGGAACTTAAACTGGGATGTAAGAAGTCAGGAAAGTGTTTTAACAGGAAGGACTGGTATAAAATGGAACAGATTATTGGACAGACCAAGGAAACTCCATCATTAGGGTCACGCAAGGTGGGACCATGTAAAATGGGATGCAGGAACAGCTTCCTCCCTGGGGCAGGGGGATGGAGCGGTTTCATTCTGCATCTTTTCACCACAACTCTTCTAAGATGCTGCAACAAGCAATAATTTGTAGATGACATGTTTAAGACACTTGGATTAATGGAGAAAGAGGAAACGGTTTCAACAACTTACACAAAAACATAATGTTAATCACTGCTTTTTAAGGAATAAAGCTACTGCTGAGGGGAGGTACCCGTGCAACTAGTACAGAGGGGAGCTGGAGAGCAAGTACTTGGGGCTGAAGGAAAAGTTGATACTGGAAAAGCATCAGTGGAACACTAAAATATGTAGCATTATATTTTATAATGCTCTTATTAACTTTTTGCTTTATGTAAATGACAGAAAAAATGCTAAAGAGGTAAATGGATAGAATTAGAAATAGCGAGTTTATACCTGATTCTTTTTTATCATTCCTGGAAAAACGGTATTTACATGTAACTAGATTTTTATCCAAAAAATGATAGCAGCCTTCCAGTACCTAAAGGGGACCTACAGGAAAGATGGGGACAGACTCTAGATCAGGGAGTGGAGCGATAGGACGAGGGGTAATGGTTTTAAATTGAAAGAGGGGAGATTTAGATGAGATCTCAGAAAGAAATTCTTTCCTGTGAGGGTGGTGAGACCCTGGAACAGGTTGTCCAGAGAAGCTGTGGCTGCCCCATCCCTGGAGGGGTTCAAGGCCAGGCTGGATGGGGCATTCAGCAGTGCCAATCTCTGTGCCCCCCATCGCTTTTGGTTCGGTTTCTCTCAAGAAGCACTTCACATTTACAGAGGCTGTTTTCCAGAAGGGCTTCCAGCCATATCTGAAGTTGGCTGGAGGTGTACATTTTTTTTTTTCCCCATTTCACAAAAAAGAAAAAAAAAATACACCTGGCCAGGAATGCTCTTAATGTTTCTTCCAATAAATCTTTCCACATCCTCTGTTGGTTACTGGATTCACTACACATTCCTTTGCAGTAATAAATTATTTAAGTTTTTGAACATAAAAGGAAGCAAGAGAAAGAAATTTAACTTTCACAGGAGAGAATGAAAGTGACACCATGAGATTCCTTTAGACTGAAAAAAAACTTTTTCCAAAGCTAAAGCTAAAGCTAAACCTAAGGCTTTAGTGCTAATTTCTATGTTCTGAAAAAAAGACATGCAAAAAATTATGAACAGTATTTGTAACCCAGGCATGGTAACGTGCACGAAACCTGTCTATAAACCACACTGAAATCCACGGGTGAATTGCAATGTGTGCAAGAAGAGAAACACAAAAAGCAAGCAGCACAAATCAAAATAAGTAATAATCTGATTATTAATACTATTATTACAACCATTCTGGTTCCTGCCTTCCTTAGAATCAAGCCGTACAATGGCAGGAACAATGAACTGTCACACGGGGTTGGCCCTTGGCCAGGATTGGTCCCTGTAGGTCTGGGTTTTTTGGAAATAACCAGAAGTGTATTCTTTAACTGAATATACATTATCTTACTCAAGATAAAAAATGCAATGGAAAAATTATTCTTAACTTTATAGTCACAGTTGATGGTTAAATGACATCGTGAAGCATGTACTGAAGCTTTTGAAAGGGCAATCCTTTAAAGTATTTATCATAGGGGTTACTAATTTTTAGATTTATGCCATTGCTCCTTCCCGGTAACGCTGTCCCAGTTTGATCTCGGGGTCACCTCTTCATTGAACGGTGTCCAGCACCTGGACCAGCCTCTGAGTGCAGGAGAAATCAGTGCCACAAAGGTCAAGCATGTGCTGATTTTAACTTGCTTTATTCTCACAGCCACAGTCTTACTGGAAAGGGGTAGTAAATAATGCAAAAAACTGGACTCTTCCAGGAATTTCAAAATCACGGTATATCCTGTATCCTTCTGAGAATCAAACCTCGCTCTTATGGCAGGCATCACAATTGATGGTCACAGCCTGCACATAATTTATAACTTTTGTTGGTCACTTCTAGTCCTCGTTATCCAGAAAAAGAGAACAGAAAAAGACATTTTAGCAACTGACAGAGAAGACCTTGTTCAAAGTGTAGGCACAACGCTGACTGACACAATAGTTAAGCCGTATCTTAAGTATTCTTTCCTCTCCTCTGAATCCTAACTAGTTATAGGTGATTGGGATGCCAGCAGCGTTTATGGAGAATGTTAAAAGGATTTAAATGACAGAATTCAACAGCAACCCAGGAAAGAAAAAGAATCTCGTGGGTCTTTATTAATTGAAAGTTAAACAAATAAGCGAACGCTTCAAGTCGCCTGGCTTTACCCTTAAAACACCCATGATTCTGACACTGCCATGTTATTTCTGGCAGCAGCTCCGATTACAGCTGATAGTGCCTACAGGGAGGCTTCAGTAAGAATGCCAGGACAAATTTAATCTACCACACCTAACTCCGTTGCACATACAGGCCTCCGATCCTCTTTTATATTCAATGGCATGGCACTAAATCTTTCAAAAATCTCATTATTAGTTGCAGGAAGTCAAATAATCAAGCAGAACCAGGTCCTCACACGCCTAATTGCCTGACATGTTGGCGTATATTGTAACCAGGATGAAAAACAGGATGTTAAGAAGGCAAGGATCAATACAAACCCTGGTGTAGGCCAGAAGAGCTCTCGCACGTTATGGCCCACCCACCGCTCCGCGCCGCCAATTCCAGGCGGAGAACACACTTCAGCACGCGCTGGACGCATCAAACACGAATAGTTTCTTCCCCTCACCAACAAAATCCTTAAAAAAGACCCTGACCTTTAAATCAGACTCGGAGGCAGTAAGGAGTTTAATGGATTAATGACTTGAGTTCCCACACGATGGGCTGGTGTGCCACGATCCCCCCCCGAAACCATTGTGATATTCACTGTCTATTCATTTCATCCAGTTGACTTAAATGAGTCTCTTGTAAAAAAAGAAAAAAACTCCAAACCCCTAACATTTCTTGGCCATTAATAAATTGAATTTTTTTATTGTTTGAACAGATGATTAACTGCATTTATAAGCTAAAAACAAAACTTTTACCACTTTATATTTATGTACTTTGGAAAAGAAAGTACTCAGAAACACTGCCAACCTTATAAACCATAAATCCACATAACAGCACTTTGATTCCAAAATAAAGTATCCACTTTGTCTGTTATTAAATAGTAAAAATATTCCAACATAACCATATTGTGTGATGGTTGTAACTCATATTCAGAATTTATTTGATGTAGAGTTACTGACTGTAGGGGTTTTCTGGTCGGCAGAAGAAGACTGGGAATGGATACAGGGACAGACTTAAAGTTGTGTTTGGAATATGCAATCCGATATTTTACAAATGTGCATTTATTTAGGAAAGTGTGAGGATATCTGAATATTTACTGACATCCCCCCAAAGATTCATTTCCTTGCTTCAATCTGTTTAGGAGTGGTTTTTTTCCCCCCAGATGGAACTGCACATTTATGCATGCTTCAATTTACATATGTACTAGTTCAGTTTAAGCACAGCTTGAAAAAACACGTAATACCCTTTTTAGCTAAAAATAATAACAAAAAAAAAAAGCCTCTGCAGGTATTACCTCTGCCTTTTACTGCATCCCTCCGAAAGAATGCAACAGCTGTGTTCCATTATTCGCACTGCTTTGCTGTAATATTACTTGACTTGCCATTTAATACAGTTTCTTAAAAACGAACAGAACTGTAACGTCGGCCCAGATGATGTGGCTGATGGGAAATGTGAAAACACAATTTAAAGACGCCGCTGAACTTGGGGGGAAGGTGGATGTTACCAGGGTCAGGGTTGTACCTGGAAGGGAGGGAGGGCCAGGGCGTGCTCTGGCGTGTCCCTGCCCTGGCTGCTCCACGGAGAGCCCGCTCCCTGGCACAGCGTTGGCTCCTGCCGGCTCA